CTCTCTCTCTCTCTCTCTCTCTCTCTTTCTGTTTTTCGAGACAGGGTTTCTCTGTGTAGCTTTGGAGCCTATCCTGGAACTCGCTCTGTAGACCAGGCTGGCCTCGAACTCACACAGAGCTCCGCCTGCCTCTGCCTCCTGAGTGCTGGGATTAAAGGCGTGCACCACCACCTTCCAGCGGTGCTGACATTTTTGATAGTAAAATTGTGTGACTTTTTTCTTACATCTAATTCATGACTGGAATATTGTTAATGAAAATGGAGTTTAAAAATAAAGATTTGCATTGGTCCAGTTAGCATGTTATCATCATAAAAGTAATAAAAGAATGTAAAAGGCCACATTAGCAACACTACCTAGTCATTATGGCAAACAGACCTAAAAGCTTTGCTGATTCCTTCAGGGCTCTTCATGGATAATATTTTAATTTTTCTTCTTCCAAGCATTAGGTAATCAGAATTTTACCACCTACATATTTGGGAAAAGGCATACTCCTTCCCTGACTGAACATACTAGATCCCAGTGTTAGAAACAAAATGCAACTTTCTCCTGCATTGTTCCAGGATGACACACCTTCAGTCACTTTCCCCTGGGACTTGCCTTTCAGGTAAAAACTACACTTGGTAATTAGAGCCAGTAAACAAGCCCTGTGGATGGTATGCGCCTGCGTTAAGGCTGTCTTTGTGATGTAAAAGTGCTTTAATTTAACCCCTTACTGACAACGAGATAAAAATCCGGATCAGAAACCTGCCCACTCACGTGACTACCATCCTGTAAAGACAGATATACTTCAAGGAAAATGCATACCAGGGGTGAATTTGGTTTCATGAACTGAAACAAAAGAAACAATAAGGATGATTTCCCGTTTTGGGGTTTAGATCTAGCCTTATGCGTCTGTAGAATCCCTCCACTCACATCTTCACACCCAGAGAATCTTCTCCATGCATTCCAGCCAACGTTGTCATAACACGGTGCTACTAGGAGGCGGGGCTACTTCTTAGCCTCGCCCCCTTTGACACCCAGAGACTCTTCTCCACGCATTCCAGCCAACGTTCTCATAACACGGTGCTACTAGGAGGCGGGGCTACTTCTTAGCCTCACCCCTTCGTGCCTTTTAGCCAATTGCCAAAGAGAGTAGTTGGGCGGCAACATTACCGGAAGACTCCGCCCCCACCCCGGTCAGCCAATCCAGAAAAGCTGGGTGGGGAACTTCCTTTGTGATCCCGCCCCTTTGGTGCTTGGTAATTTAGAGCCGCGCGCTGGGCGGGAATGTAAGATGGCGGAGTAGCAACGCGGTGCTGTTGGTGTTCAGGCTGCGGGCTGACTTCGAGACCAGTCTCCGCAGCTGCGGTGACCACTGAAAAAAGAGTGCGTTTGTGCAGTTGCCCAAGATGCCGAATATCAAAATCTTCAGCGGGAGCTCTCACCAGGACTTATCCCAGAAAATTGCTGACCGCCTGGGCCTGGAGCTAGGCAAGGTGGTGACTAAGAAATTCAGCAACCAGGAGACCTGGTAAGGACGAAATTGGCATCCCGAGTGCACCGCACCTGCCGGGTCGGCGGCATCTTGGGGGAATTGAGCGGCCGCGGGAATTCCCGGGTGCTGAGGGAGAGCAGGAAAGGGCAGCTAACGTTAGCTTGTCCCGCTGCCTGTTCCGTTATTTCACCTCGCTGGAGGGTCGCGTTTATCCTCGCCGCGCGCGTGGGTGGAGCCAAGATGGAGGGGGCAGGCAGAGATGCTACGTTTGAAGGTTGGGGATGGAGGACCTAATGTAGTGGGGTAATGGCCTCCCCGGAGCGCCTGGTGGGGTACCAACGCTTAGCTTCGGCTATGGGGACACGTGGCTTGTCGCTTCAGTGGGGAGCCACTAGGCTGGCTTCGGTTCGCTTTCGGCGCGTTGACTGGTATACATCAGAGAACCTATCGCGTGCCTTAGCCCCCTCGTGGTCTTTCTCCTAGAGTCGAAAAGCTTTTTGATTCGAAATGGTAGCGTTCTGGTTTGGTCTTAAAGGAAGCATGTTCTGAGTGCGCGAAAATGTTACCTCTTCCCTTAGATTGGCAAGCGTCGGCTTTTCCTATCTTTGCAATCTGTCTGTCGAGGAATCGGAACCACCCTTAAGTTAAATCGAGGTGATGAGATAAAGTGGTGCTTTAGCTCAGCATCATTGATCTTCAGCATCTCAGCTTCAGTCATCCCGAAAGTCTTAGAGAAAGCCAAGTTGTGGAATTGGAATTTTTTACCTTAACACCCCTCCCCCAAATAGCAGCCTCTTTTCAGTGTTACGTGCGTGGGGATTTAGAGAACGACTTACACGTGAATATTAATAATTGAGGACAAAATAACACAAGGGAAGAGCTAGCTCAAACAGTAAATTGAAATTTGACTTTTTTTTTTAATGCTTTGCCTTAAACAACTCCTCGTCCAGCACTGATGTGATGTCACACGTCTTTAATTACGCCCTCTAGGCAGAAGCAGGATAGCCGGCCCGCAAGCTTGAGGCAAGACTGGTCCTCATAGCTAATTCTGGATTAGTCTGGACCACATAGTGAGGCCCTCTCTCAAATATTAATTAGTAACAAAATTCGCTCTCTAGCCCCAATTTCGTTGTCCACATGCACTATTGGACCATGTGAGAGGTTACTTACCTACTTCTTTCAGTGCCCCTTCCAACCGTATATGGAGTCTTCTAGATCTCATGCACTGTATTTTGTTTTCCCGTAGTTGATAGAGCACAGGCCATAATCCTTTTTTTCATTGGCTTATTTTGATTTTGTTTTTAGGGTGCTTTTTGAGGGGGAATCACCTACAGGTCTCTAACATGTAGTCGTCCTCTTGCCTCTCTTTGCCTGCTTAGTACTGGGATTACACACAGGACCCATCACGCCTACACTCTTACAGTCATCTGTTAGGGGGCATTTCTAAACTAATGATCAGTTATTAAACTACATAAGATTTATTTTTTCTGACTTTTTTCTAAATGTTTTGTGTTTTTTCTTTAAAGTGATTTCCAAATATAACTGTATTTTTTTCGACCTAGCTAAAGTTCATCTGTGATGGATGGCTTTTTCCTGGATTAGTATGCTGTTAATTGTGATGCAAATGATAGTGCAAACACTTAGCATCCGTAGCCAGGTAATACCTTAGTCAGAAGAGGAGTGCAAGCTGCTTGTTACCTCTGACCATTTCTGCTCCTGGGCCTCAGTTAAAAAAAAAAGAAAGAAAGAAAGAAAGAGAGAGAGAGAGAGACAGAGAGAGAGAGAGAGAGAGAGAGAAAGAAAGAAAGAAAGAAAGAAAGAAAGAGAAAGAAAGAAAGAAAGAAAGAAAGAAAACAGCCCCAGACTTAGAACGATAGTTTGGCTAGGGGATAAAAATGTTTTTCATTTAGAGGTTTTCTTTGACCCATTTGGTTATTGAGTCTTTCGGGGGAAAAAAATAGGAAGACTGTTTTGTCCTTGGCATTAATCCTCTGCCCTCTGCATAATGCAGCACAGCAGAACAGGTTATATTTGGGGTGGTGGTCATGATGAAGAGAACAACATAGTCTAATACTGACAGATTTTGATTAAGCCCAACTTGGATAATAAGACTTTTTAGGCTTTTATTTATTTATTTTATGTTTATGGGTGTTTTGCCTGCATATATGTATTGGCATACATGCCTGGTGCCTGCTGAAGTCAGAAGATAGTGGTGGTTAGATCCCCTGGGACTGGATCACAGATGGTTGTGAGCCTCCATGTGGGATCTGGGAATCCTCTGCTCGAGCAGCCTGTGCTCTTAAGCATTGAGCTGACTCTCCAGACCTGACTATAAGGTTTAGCTTTAAGTTTGGCTTTGAAAAATGGCTGAAATGTTGGTTATTAAGCAGAATTGTTTTTAAAAATGGTAGTGGCGGTTGAGTGATGAGTTGCTAAGTTTTATTGGTCGGGGTGGGGGACATGGAGCACACTTGGCTTAGAACTTGCTATGTAGACCATGATGGCCTTGGAACTCAGACTGTGCGTCCTTGGTCCAATTAACAAGCCTGTGCCACCATGCCTGACCTCAGAACGTTTTTGTTTTGGGGTGGTTTTTTTATTTTTTTTTTGGTTTGTTTTTCTTTGTTTGTTTGTTTGTTTTGTTTTGTTTTGTTTTTTCAAGACAAGGTTTCTCTGTAGCTCTGGCTGTCCTGGAACTCACTTTGTAGACCAGGCTGGTCTGAAACTCAGAAACGTTCCTACCTCTGCCTCCTGAGTGCTGGGATTAAAGGTGTTCAACATCATACCAGGCTAGAATGTATTTTTTTTTAAGATTTTATTTTTTATTTGTGTGTAAGTTTGTATGTATGTGGTGGAGGGGGCATGTATCACATATGTTTGATTACTTGCAGATTCCAGACGTGGGCACCAGCTCCCCTGGAACTGGAGTTATTATGAGTAGTTACCACCTGACCTGGGCACTGGGTCTTCTAGAAGAACATCAGGGACTCTTAACTTCTTTTTCTCTTTCTTTTTCTTTTTCTTTTTTTGAGACAGGGTCTCACTTTGTGGCTCTGACTGTCCTGAAACTATGTAGACCAGGCTGGCCTCCCACCTCAGATCTCCTGCATCTACCTGTGCTGAGATTAAAGGTGTGTGCCACTGTACTCAGTTAAGGACTCTGAACTCTTCCCTGGAACACATAAATTTTAAATACTAACCTCTAATGATGCTATATTTTTCATATGCTTTTAAATGTTTAAGCTGGCAATAATTATTATTTGTCAATTTTTGCCCTTTTCCTTTTTGTTGGCATGTATTATACAAAATGATGGACTTTGGGTTTTGTTTTCTTGTTTTTTCTCAGAGCTGAGGATTGAACCCAGGGCCTTGCACTTGCTAGGCAAACACTCTGCCACTGTGCTAAATCCCCAACCCCAAGGACTTTGGGTTTTTGGCAAAGAAAATATTTTCTCTCCTGGAAAAAGTCTAGATAATGAGGTTTCATAATTAATAAGTCACCTGCTCTAAAGAAAGGATTTGAAGCCAGGCAGTAGCGACACACCACTTTTTAGCACTCCAGAGGCTGAGGCAGAAGCCAGTCTAATCTGCAGGGGTAGTTCCAGGCCAGCCTGGGATACATACATAGTGAAAACCCTGTTCCTTCCAGCTCCACCCCCGCCACACACACACACCTGATAAAGGATTCCAAGTATATTTTGTAGTTACAAAAGCAAGGAGTTTGTTATAATAGATATTATAATAAGTCTTATAGAACAAAGGACTATAATAATTTTTCCAAGAACTTAGCAAAAAATAATTGGTAAAGTTTAGATTTTATCTGTATCCCTTGGCTTCTGGCAGCTGAAGGGATAGAGGCATAAAGAACATAATGTTTTTATTTTCATACAGCTCTCTAGAGACTTCCAGATACAAACTCCCAAAGATTTTATAAAGAATATCATGTAAAATGTAATAATTTGTGGGTATTTTTTGTATTGGTTCACGTTTAAAGCTTTGTATAAGGTGATAAGAAGCTACCCTGGTCTAAATGCTTTGAAGAATCCTTTAAGCCTATCAGACTGTCTTAGGGTCAGTTGTGAAATTGTTTGTTCTCTAAGTCCTGGTCAAACAGTCTGACAATAGTAAGTGAATGTGTGGAGCACATGGTAATCTGTGTACTTTACTGAAACTACAGCCATAGGTTGACCTCTGATACCACATATAGAGGGCAAAGCTGACCTTATTGGAAATCAGTGCACCCAGCTTCTTCTCTCCCCCAGGAGAATGGAGATGTGCCAGCGGAGTACAGACAGGTTTAGCCGTTTTTGAAGTTGCTCAATAATTGTAAATACTTGGTCTAGAATGCATGAGCCACAGAACAGAAGCACTTTATCAGGGAATCTTATCTCTCAAGGAAAGTGAGAGTAAAGACCACACCTTTGATCCCAGTACTCCAGAAACTAACTCAGGTTGATCTTAGGGTTCAAGGTCAACCTGATTGCTGTGTTTTGTTTTCAGACAAAGTCTGTGTAATCTAAACTGACCTCAAACTTGCTATGTAGCCCAGGATGACTTTTAATGGATCCTCTTGCCTCAGCCCCTTAAATGCTGTCTTACCCACATTTGAAGCACTCAATAACCATAAACATGAGGCCAGTGATTCCTGTATTGTGTCATGCCTTTCTACGCCTTATTTGGAAAACACGCAAGTAGTTCTTGTAGAAAGGCCTCCTTGGACCTCTCTGACCTATGTGTGAACTTGTGTGTGTGTGTGGGGGGGTGTTCCTAGAGACTAGAAGTGTCTGATTTCCAGGTGACTGAATGTTAGGCACCAATTCAGGTTCTTGTTAAGAACCACTGGGCCGTCTCTCCAGCCCCTGTTTAACTTTTTGTGGTAGAACCCTCCAAATAAACACATGGCTTGAGTGGAGTCCCCAGAGGTCACTTAAAGCCGCGTGCACCCACAAGTGCCCCTCTGGGAAGATGGGAGGTAGAGACAGGAGAAACCCTGGAAGCTTGCAGGCTAGCTAGCCTCCTATACAGGGCAGTTGTCTCAAGGTGGAAGGTTGTCCTCTGACCTAACTAAACACATGTACTCACACACATACATCCTATATACCCACATTAAAAAAAAACTAATTCCTAAATATTGAAGAACTAGTCAGTGTTCAGCTCTCTCTCTCATAAATGTGTGGTTTTTAAAAATTAAAAAAATTACATATTTATTGTTTGCAAGTGTGGGGATCAGAAGACAACTTTTGGAAGTTGATTTTCTCTTCACCGTGTGGGTTCCGGGAATGGAACTCAAGTGGTCAGGCTTGGGGCAAGCACTTTTATCAGCTGAACCGCCTTGCTGGCAGCTAACAATTCTTTATTACATTTTATTTATTTCTTGAAGGGGCACAATGGAGTTGGTTCTTTTCTTGTACAGTCTGGTTCTGGGGATTGAACTCCGCCTGTTTGTCAGACTGTGGCAGATATCCCCACCTGCTGAGTCATCTCACTGGCCCATGGTTTTGTTGGGCGTTTTGTTGTTGCTTTCTGTTTGAAATAGGGTCTGTAGTTTGTAGCCTAGACTGGTCTCGAACTCCTCTTGAAGCTTCCAGAATTTTTGGTTTACTAATATGTATCGTCCTACCCAGCTAAATGTATATTTCTAAGTATGTTTGATCTAGAATGCAAATAAGATCCATTGAGGTTGAATAATTGATAGTTTTATGTTACCTTTTTTCTGGTAAATTTTATTTTCCACATATGAGTGCTTTGCTTGCATATATGCCTGTGCGCCACATGCTCTGCCCACGGTGCCTACAGAGGCCAGAAGAGGGCATTGGATCCCTAGAACTGGAGTTAGGAGTGGTTGTGAGCCACCATGTGGGAGCTGGGAATAGGGAACCTGGGTCCTCTAGAAGAGCAACAAGTGCTCTTAACCACTGAGATGATACACAAATTCTGGGTTGCTTTATTTTGTTTGGGAGACAGAAGTTTAGGCTATCAAATTCCTTATATAACCTGATGTTCCTGTCTCAACCTGGAACTAAAGGCTGCATCCTCATCTAGATGGGATCTAACAAAAGACTTCCTGAATACTGGGGAAAGAGATCCCTCTGCCTCTGCCTCTGCCTCTGCCTCTACCTCTGCCTCAATACTGGATTAAAGGCATGTTCCACCACTGCCTGGTAGGTAATGTATTTATAGGAAGAACATTCCAGATACTGGGAAGAAGTATAGAGGCTCGGAAGTAGAAAAAGATATATCTAAGGGATATTTAAAAAAAAAAAAAAAAAAAAGACTGGTAGATTTCAGGCCAGAGAGGAAATAATTTTGAGGTGAACTCTTCTTTTTTTGAGACAAGGTATGTAGCCTTGGCTTTCATTACTTTTCATTAACTTCCTAAGGGATGTGTAAGTGTATACCATTAAGCCTGGCTCAAGGGGGGCAGTTCTCAGGCTAACTACAGAAATTGGAACTCCCAAGTTCCCTCACAGCATTACATAGTTCCTCAGAAAACAGACAGTTAAAGTAGGTTCGTCTGACTGACCACAGTCATTTTATATCTTCTGTTGCCTCACCTTTCATTGAGAGATGCAGTAATGGTTTAGTGAGTACACACAGGTATAATGGTGCACAATTCTTCTCTTTACTATTTTTTTTGTTTCGTTAGTTGTTTGGAGACAGGATCACTAGCCTGGAGCTCCCTGTCCATCCTAAGTTGCTCTCAGTGTACTGTGTCCTGAGTATAGGTGTGTGCCATCAAAAGTGAATTTGAGCCATGGTGGTGCCTTTGGAGGTGCTGGCAGGAGAAGCAGAAGTTTGAGGTCATTCTCAGCTCTGAATTACTCGAGTCCTTCCTTGTCTCAAAAATGAAAATAAATTTGAATTTTGAGAGCAGAGAGTATAGTTCAGTGGTAGATCACTTGCCTAGCATGTACAAAATAATGAGTTTTATTCCCAGTGTCACAAAAATGAATTTTGAATTAATTGTAGACTTACGGGCAGTTGTAAAAAATGAGAAAAATCTGCCTTTTTTTTGTTTGCTTGCTTGTTTTTTTTTTTCTTCGAGACAGGATTTCTCTGTGTAGCTTTGCCCTTGTCCTGGATCTCGCTCTGTAGCCCAGGCTGGCCTCAAACTCACAGATATACCTGGCTCTGCCTTCCGAGTGCTGGGATTAAAGACATGCGCCACTGCCACCCAGCTGCAATGTATTTTTTACTCAGTGTTTTATAATTTTCTGACTAGAGTTTTTTTTTCTTTATGCAAACTGTAGTTTCTTTTAAAGAAACAATCAGCATATTTCTTGTATAATGTACCAATCAGCATATTGACACAGATAAACATCAAGATACACAAAACACCCCTATTAATTACCAAAAGGGTGTTTTCTGTTTGCTCTGTGATGACTACATCCACTTTTCTCCTCCTGTCTTTCAATGGTTTTCTTTTGGTATTGCCTTCATCTGGTTTTATTATCTGAGTAATAATACTGGCTTCAATAAAGTTGAATTGGAACCTGTTTCCTTATCCGTTTCTGGAAAAGACTGTAAAATTAGCATTAATTCCCTTTAAAAATACTGATAGACTTCTCAGATTAAGCTGGGTGTTAGTTTGTTACTGAATTTTTATCATATTTCCCCCTCACCCAAGTCCTCTTAGATTGTCCCTACCTCCCTACCTACACAGGTGTTTCTGTTGGTGTCTTAGAGGTTTATCAATGGTATTTATTCATTTTTCTCTCATATAAACTAGCTTTTGTTTTGTGGGTTTTTCTTCATTCTCTTAAGTCTTTAAAATTTGTATTCATTTCGGACAGAGTGTCTTTCTTTTTTATGTAATCACCCTGTCTTTAAGATCACCATCAGCCTTCCTCAGTTTCCTTAGCCCTGGACTTACAGGTGTATGCCACCAGCGCTAGCCCAGTTCTGTACTTTTGAATTAGAACGGTTGTCTTCGTTATTTGTGTGTCCACACATACACATGTGCGAAGGTCAGAGGAGAACTCTGTGAAGTGGGTGCCGCTTACTCGGTCGGCTTTTACATGGATGGGTTCCAGGGATGGAACCTGGGTCAGGAGAGTCACATACACACACACACACACACACACACACACACACACACACACACACACACACACACACACACGTACTTCACCTACTGAGCTGTCCCCCTCCCTCCCTCCCTTTTTATTTTTAGATTATGGCTTTATTGGTAGACAACCAAGGGTCAGCATAATTGTTTCACTATTTAGTAAAATATAGCTTACTTAATAGAGTCATTTACTTTTGGATTTTTGTTTGTTTGTTTGTTTTTTCGAGACAGGGTTTCTCTGTGTAGTTTTGGTGCCTGTCCTGGATCTCGCTCTGTAGACCAGGCTGGCCTTGAACTCACAGTGATCTGCCTGGCTCTGCCTCCCAAGTGCTGGGATTAAATACTTTTGGATTTTTAAAAAAATAATTCTATCTTTACAAAGGTTTTTATTTTGTGTGTATTTGAATGTTTGCCTCTGTGTGTGTGTGTGTGTGTGTGTGTGTGTGTGTGTACATATATGTATATATGCATACCACATGCATATAGTTCCTACAGAGGCCAGAGGAAGTCAGATGCCCTACTAGAGCTGGAGTTACAGCTGGTTGCAAGCCCCCTGGCATGGGTGCTAGGAACTGAACTCAGGTCCTCTACAAAAGTGACAAGTGTTCTTACCCGCTGAACCATCTCTTCAGCCTCTATGTTTATTTATTTTTTTTATTTTGTATAATTGTGTGTTTGTGTGGAAATATGTACATATTAGTGCAGGTGCCCATCCACAGAGGTCAAAGGTGTCAGATCCCCCAGAGTTGGAGTTACAGGTGGTTGTGAACCCTCTAAATTAAACAAGACTTTATACTTAGGTCAGAGTAGTTTGCACAGAATGACGTCAAAGCCTGCATCTGTTTCATTCACCATTACATATTCCTAATTGAGTGGACTATCACTATGGGAGGGAAGGTATTGTCTTCTCTATACAGCATTGGTGCAGGACAGAGGTGATTTCATTCCTTGGATATTCCTACTTTTCCTTATATGTGACTGCAATAGTCACCATTGCTAACAGATTTGATACTATGTCTGATGGCCACCAAGTGAAATTATGGTGCAGTTGCTTCTCTATAAGTACTTTAAAGTCAACCAATCTTTTTCATGTTGTGTCTCATTTATAAGCTTAGAATATTTTTGTATAGTGAACTAGAATGAACTGGGTAATAAGCTGTTTCTAGTATACCCACCCGTTTCTTTAGGTGTTCTCTCCAAAGTCTGAAGTGATCAATATCCACATGGAGCTATAACCCATGCATAACATATGAGTACTGATGCTGTGACTGTCTGAAGAATTACAGTGTGATACTTAGGAGAATCTGTTGTTTCTGTTCATTCTCTTTTTCTATTTTAGTGTGGAAATTGGAGAAAGTGTACGTGGAGAAGATGTCTACATTGTTCAGAGTGGGTGTGGTGAGATAAATGACAATCTAATGGAGCTTTTGATCATGATTAATGCTTGCAAGATTGCTTCAGCCAGCCGGGTGACTGCAGTCATCCCATGTTTCCCTTATGCCCGCCAGGATAAGAAAGATAAGGTAGGAATGAATTTTTTTTTATAGTGTTGGTGAGCGCAGCTAGAGCTTAATGCTCGGCTAGTGCTCTACTACAGAGTTATACCTTCAGCTCAGAATCTTTTTTTTTTTTTTTGAGACACAGGGTTTCTCTGTGTAGCTTTGCACCTTTCCTGGAACTCACTTGGTAGCCCAGACTGGCCTCGAACTCACAGAGATCTGCCTGCCTCTGCCTCCCAAGTGCTGGGATTAAAGGCGTGTGCCACCACCATCCGGCCAGAATCCTTTTTTTTTTTTATTAATAATAGTGCTAGACCATTTTGATATGACTTTTTTTATTTATTTATTTTTTAAATTACACTCATTTGTGGTATTCATAGATTACATTCGCAGTATTCATTCAATTATATATATTTAATTTTAAAATTTTATTTATTTATTATGTATACAGCGTTCTGTCTGCATGTGTGCCTGCAGGCCAGAAGAGGGTGCCAGATCTCATTACAGATGGCTGTGAGCCGCCATGTGGGTGCTGGGAATTGAACTCAGGACCTCTGGAAGAACAGCCAGTGTTCTTAACCTCTGAGCCATCTCTCCAGCCCGAATATAATTTCTTGAAGGGGGTAAGAGGTCTTAATTACAGGCTTACAGCACAATGGGAGGACCCCAGAGGGCAGAAGTTCTCTACTGATGTTTTACAATCTTGCATCTAAGCTGTTAACGCCCATTATTCAGGATACACAAACAAGGAACTTCCCTTAAGCATTCAGGAGGGTGGAACCTGGCTGGTCTACAGAGTGAGTTCCAGGACAGCCAGAGCTGCACAGAGAACACCCACCCCCCAAAAAAAGACTAATCACCAGTCCTTTGTAGGTGTGTGTGTGTGTGTGTGTGTGTGTGTGTGTGTGTTTGTGTTTTATTGGGTATCAAACCTGGGGCATCACACATGCTAAATAAGTGCTCTGTTACTAAACTATATACCAGCCCATTTTTTGCCTTTTATTTTTAGGCAGGATCTCACTAACTTTCCTAGACTGACCTTGAACTCATTGTGCTGCTCAGGCAGGTCTTTCTTGTAATCCTCCTGCCTTAGCTTTCAGAGTAACTGGGAATCCAATCCCATGCCATTAGTTCTAGAAGAATACTTTTTAAAACTGTAGATGTATTTATTATCTAGCCAGGTCATGTGGTACCTGCCTGTAGTTGGTCACAGATCTTCAGAGGAGACCGAGGCTAGAAAATCATTTGCACTCAGGATTTTGAGAGCAGTCTGAGCAACATAGCAGGAATATCCCCCCCTCAGAAAATATAAGCAAACCTTAGTAGAGCCTCTCATAGTACCACAAGATCTTGATCCCAGTTGTGACCCCTTCGTAAACTTGAAGTTGACTATGTGAATAATTGCTTTCCTATATTTTATGTATCTGATTTATTAGAAGGTGAAGTATATACATAAAGCTTTTTAATTTAAGGATTTTGTAATTAACCCCAGTTTTTACAAATGATACCTAAGAGGAATTCTAGATGCTTTTTATTGTGACCAAGTATAGAGTAAAAGCATAGACTTTGTAGAAGTAGTCACAGGTATGTTGAGGTTGCTATAAAGTTGACCTTCAGATGACTCTGATTAAACAATTTTCATTGTGATATGGATCTTTAAACTTTGACACATTAGGTGGTATTATGAGTGTGTATGCACTAAAATATTTCAATCAAAATAATTTTAAAGATAATGTGAGGACTGAGATTGATTTGACTGACCATAGTAAACACTTGAATACAGAGCCCAGTGTGGTGGTGTGTGCCTTCGATCCCAGGAGGGAGAGTCAGGCACATCTCTGAGGCCAGCTTGGTCTGCCTAGAGAGTTCAAGGACAGACAGAGCTGCATAAAGAAACCCTGGTAACGTGTGCCTTTAATCCCAGCCCTAGCGAGGCAAAAGTAGATGGATCTCTTGAGTTCAAGGCTAGCTTGATCTACAGAGCGAGTTCCAGAACAGCTAGAGCTATACAGAGAAACCCTGTCTGGAAAAACCGAGAGACAGAGGCAGAGAGAGAAAGAGAGAGAAGAAAACATCCAGGAATGGTGCATGCCTGTAATCCCAGCACTCAAAAGACTGAGGCAACAGGGTCAAGACTTTTAAGCCAGTCTAAACTACAAAGCAAAATCGTCAAACAAAAATAATTTAAGAAAACAGAAGTTAGAAATAAAGTTTTCTTTACTAAAATTTGTATCTTCATTTGGAATAATATTGCACTGCTTACTGTTTATATTAGAGTACAATCACTCAAAGATCAGTGCCACGTGTCGTGAATTTCTTGGTGATATAATGTCTTAAAATTATAGGTACTTGGTAAATGAACTGCTTTCATCTTGACTTTTTTTTTCTTTTTTTCTTTCCTGCCTTCTATTCAGAGCCGGGCTCCCATCTCAGCTAAACTTGTTGCAAATATGCTATCTGTAGCAGGAGCAGATCATATTATCACCATGGATCTACATGCATCTCAAATTCAGGTACCAGTGGAAGGAAGCTAAATATTGAGAGAAAGGTGGGCAGAGAGCCAGGCATGGTGGTGCACATCTGCATTCTAGAGGCTGACAGCTGAAGCAAGAAGTTAGCAAGACAGTTTGTTATTATGCAAAGGACATAGGCTTTAGGATTAGAACTAATAATCAGTCTTAATTTTAGAGCTACAGACATTAAAGATTTTTCATAGAAACCCAGAACAAGAGAAATCAATCGCCACATTTATTTTATACTATCTAAAGCTTCCAGCTATGAATGGTGGTGCATACCTATAATCTTAGCACTTGGAAGGCCCAGGCAAGGAGATTGAATTCCAAGCTAGTCTGTGCTGTAGAGTAAACCCTCTTTTAAAAGTTAAACTCCCAGCTATTACCATTTGAGTCTTCTGGCAAAAGAGGTGCATAGGACAGAGGAGTGTACTCATCTTGTCAAAAAGAAATAATTGAGAAGTACAACTAGTTTGTATAAACTAGAATTAAAACACATATCTCAGGCTGGAGAGATGGCCCAGCAGTTAAGAGCACTGGCTGCTCTTCCAGAGGACCCGGGTTCAGTTCCCAGTGCCCACATGGCAGCTCACAACTGTTAACTCTAGTTCCAGGGGTTCTGACACTCTCCTACCAATGCACATAAAAAATAAAAATAATAATACTCTAGCTGCTTCACCATTTGGCCAGCACAAATGCCAAGTAGTCTAAATGGTGTATATAAATTGAGTCTGAACATGTTGGCTTGGCTGTTCATAGCTCTTGGCTGAACTTGACTATTTACAAGGGCTCGTTTTTTGTTCCTATGGCGAGGTGTGGGTTGGCCAAGGCCTGGAATTGCTGATCTTGCCTGGAAAGGGGGCTATTTTTACAGTTGCTGCCTTGCGCTTACTTTCCCATTATCTTATTGTTCCTTTTAAAATTTGTGTGTGCATGCATGTATATGTAAATGAATACACACATTCAAGTTGCATGTAGAGGTAAGAGAACAACTTGCAGGAGTTCTCTGACCAGGTAGCTTTTCAAGGTCAAACTTGGGAGCTACTTTACCCTGCTGAGCCACCTCACCAGCCTTTTTTATTACATCGATTGACTGGCTGATTGTTCATTGGGTATACACATGCTTAAGCTTAAAAACAACTTTCAGGAGTCAGTTCTCCCATGTAAGTCCCAGGGAGCAAACTCCTCAGGTCATCAGACTCTACAGCAAATATCTTAGATGAGACATCTCTCTGAATCCACTTACTTTATTTCATAAATGAAGAGAAGAAAAATAAAACCAAACTTAACCCAGCTTCTTTCTCCAGGGCTTTTTTGATATCCCAGTGGACAATTTATATGCAGAGCCAGCTGTCTTAAAGTGGATAAAGGAGAATATATCTGAGTGGAGAAATTGTACTATTGTCTCACCTGACGCTGGTGGAGCCAAGAGGTATAGTTGTAATTACTGTTCTTAAAAAATAATGTACTGCTAAAATCTTTCATATAGTAATATCCCAAAGTGATGTTCTCCCATCGAAGTGCCACTTTTCACAACTTGAGATTGGATGTGCCAGTGGCTAGAATATAGGTTGGATATCATTTTCACTCTATACTGGCTTGAGTCATTTGGAAGGCAGGGTAGACAGGGCCCGAAGTAGTCACTGCATTATTGGCTTGACTGTTACATTAGTGACTCGGCACTGCAGTTAACAACAGTGCTGTAACTTTATCAGGAAGGGTAGGAGATTTCATTTGCAATGAATTTATTCTTTTTTGGTTTTTTTGAGACAGGATTTCTCTGTGTAGCTTTGGAGCCTTTCCTGGAACTGGCTCTGTAGACCAGGCGGGCCTCGAACTCACAAAGATCCGCCTGCTTCTGCCTCCAGAGTGCTGCCTCCCAAGTGCTGGGATTAAAGGCGTGCGCCACCACCACCCATGAATTTATTCTTAAAGTTTTACATACCTCTTACAAAGCTGTTGGTTAGACCATTTGATCCTTGGTAATCAAGAATGGGAAATAAAGTGGTTTTTAATTTAAAGCCAGGACCTTAAATTTCTTAATCAAACTTATTGCCAGGGATTAGCAGTTACATTAATTTATATTTCAAATGGTGCAGGCCAAGAGCTTTGTTGGTTTTTTTGTTTGTTTGGCTTGCTTACAAAAATATGACGTGTTCTTGTTCTGGAAATAGAATGCAGGGTTGGTTACAAGACTCAGTCAGATGAATAGGAAAAACTAATTTAGAACTTCCCAAAAGTAATACATATCATGAAGAATTCAAATCTTTCTCAACCATCTCTTTAATTTCAGTAACTTCAGTGGAATTGATAAGCTGAGAACTTGAATTGTTTATTCAGCCAGATGTATAGCTTGATGAATTCTATTTAATTGCTGTTTGTCCTCTGTGACATCTAGTGACAATGTAAAAACATCCCTATATAGGCAGTTGTCACACTTTATCTTAACTTCTTAAGCATTATCTTCATATCTTTCTCAAGGACTTAGAAAATAATTAATTTGCAATAGTCACAAGCAGGTTTTTTTTTAAAGTTTGGTATAAGAATACTTCTTTCTGCAAATGACTTATGTTTGTAATTCTTTTTCATTCTAATTAGTGATGGAGTATTTTCCACTGCTCACTTCTGTCTTGGCAGGGTTGGGGAGTAGGTAAGGATCCCAGTGTGATTGTAATTTGCACAGTAGCTCTCCACTCAAAGGTTTGTGGGTTACTTTTCCAACTCTTTTCTGCTTTGTTGGGGACTGAGTGTGTTGGTGAGCATGAACGATTTGGAACACTTGGTAACTGATCATGCATTTGCCTTGGATGTCTTCATTCCATGTGAATTGGTTACCTCTGATGTTAGGTGTCAAAGCAGCAGTAATGGAGAGCACAAGGTATGGTTATGTTTCCTTTAGATCCAGGTAGAAGTGTTGCCAGAGTTGTGGTTCAAACCTTATATGGTCAGAGATTCTTGACCTGTTCAGCAAAAACTCTGGTCACAAGAGAAATAGGACAAATAGTGCTAAAGTTTAATTTAATCAATGTTACAATTAAAAACACTAAACCTGAAGCATGAGTCTTTTCTTCGTGACGAAGATTGCATTGCACAGTGGTATGTGGGCACACATGTCATAGGGGTAGGGTAGCCTGTTGTCACCTCTAACCTGCCTGTTAATGTGGCTTGTATTATCTTTAATGAGGAAAAACAGTTCTCTTTGCATTTGATGATAATTTGGGCTGTAGTAACATGCCCTGTTTGTCTGGTTAATTGGTTTAATTTTCTTTCTAGCACTTGTAGAAGGAATCCCAAGCTTGGTGATCAGGTACAGTTGATATTTCCCATTGGTGGTGGCTTCACCACCATTGTGGGAGAGATGAGTGTATGGACATGCATTGAAAGGGTGGGCGCTGCTCTACTCCTCCTAGCTTCAGATTCACGTGCCACTGCTTCTAGAATCACAAATCCTTCATGGTGGAAATCGGGACAATCTGTGTGCTCCCTGCACTAGCTAATAAGGTCTCTCTTTCCTTCTGCCTTCAATCTGTTAAACTAATGTACCTTGCCATATACTGTTTCCCAGGATTGGTGAAGGGTATATCTACCCCATCCCCAGAATGAATGGTATAAGTTTGAGTAATATATTCCCATACTGCCAGTGGTATTACAGAGGGCATTAATCCATAAAATCCAGTTTGTAATGTTTGTTTTTGAGATGTCGATGATAGTTGCTTTCTTCTAGCTGTGGGATCTGTTTTAGTTTCAAGGAATATTCTCCCCCTGGAAGAAAATCCATTGCTTTGTATAAGTGGGTAAGAGAGATGGAACCCAGGGCCTCATGCATGCTAGACAAAGCTGTCTACCACTGAACTGCACTCCCAGCCTTGGAAGCCACATACATGTCTTTAACTTAACTTTGAACCTCTCCTATTTTCCAGAGTTACCTCCATTGCAGACCGATTGAATGTGGATTTTGCCTTGATTCACAAGGAACGGAAGAAGGCCAATGAAGTGGATCGCATGGTGCTAGTCGGAGATGTGAAGGATCGGGTGGCTATCCTGGTGGATGACATGGCTGACACTTGTGGTACAATCTGTCATGCTGCTGACAAGTGAGTACAGGGTGGTGGGGCTAGTGAAGTAAAAAGCTAACTGCCGCTTTGCTGAGTGCTTTGAGAGACACAACTAAAGGGGTAAGTAGCGTTGGGATGTTTTGATCATGCTAGCTTTTAATACATAGAGATGAATGAGTATTCCTCATTTCAGATTCTTAGTCTTTATAAAGAGACACTGCTTTTATAGTAAGTATATCCTTAATAAATTGAAACTATCAAAAGTCAAGTGCATCACATACACTTTTACCTTCTAAAGCCCTTGCTTAGTAACACAATCTACTGTAGACTGGGTTGTTTGCCTCGTGATTACATGGCTGATTGGGAGCTGCTGTGAGACAGTATTTGGATCACACATTGCTAGATCAAGGAAAGGTCCAAATTCTACATCTAGTTTCTACTGAATATATAGTACGTTTGCCATTATAAAGTCCAAAAATCATTAAGTTCAAACATACTCAAAACAATTGACTTTTTGTTTTGATGAGTTAGAAATCCATAGGTGTCCTTTACAAATATTTGTTCATTTTGCATATGTGCACATGCCATGGCAAGCATGTGGAAGTCAAACTTTGGGAATGGTTCTCTCCTTCTACCCTGTGGGTCCCAGGGATCAAATTTACGTCAGCAGGCTGGGAAGTAAGCACAGTCAAATGTGAGTATTCCTGGTTAAGCTTATTTGCAGGGTCATAGATTTTCAGTCTTGTGGTACCTTATCTTTATCATGTAGTTTTCCAGGTCACATTCAAGGACATTTCTTTTTACCAGCCAGAAAGGAAAAAGAACACAGAGATTCCCCCTGGACATTTTGTAGGTTCTACCAAGATAAGGCTTAGTGCAGATTATACTCTTTGATGTGGTCAGTACTGTGTCCTCCTAAAATTAATGTGTTGACTTCTAGCCCCCAGGTATGGTTTTGCAGATTAACCTTGGCATTTAGGCTTAAATAATGAGATCTTGAGAACAGAACCCTCATGTTAGAATTAGTGACCTTGGAGTTGGGGATTTAGCTCTGTGGTAGAGAGAGCAAGTGCAAGGCCCTGGGTTCAGTCTTCAGCTCCAGAAAAAAAAAAGAATTAGTGACTTTATTAGAAGAAAATGCTTGCTACACTATCTTTACATGTGTACTAGAAAGTCATGTGACCACACAAAATGGTAGGTACTATAAACCAAGACCAAAAAAAGTTTCAAAATGAAATCTACCTTGTCTATGCTTGATCTTGGCCATGACAGACTCCGGAACTGTGAAGCATGTTTGTGCTTAAGCTGTCCAATTTCTGATATTCTGTTAATGACAGACTAATACTCTTCCTTCTTCCTAATTCAGAGTCTGTAGTTGCATGTCAGATTAATGAGCTCTTTTTCCTCTAGACTTCTCTCAGCTGGAGCTACCAGAGTTTATGCTATCTTGACTCATGGAATCTTTTCTGGCCCAGCCATTTCTCGTATCAACAATGCATGTTTTGAAGCAGTAGTAGTCACCAATACCATACCCCAGGAGGATAAGATGAAACACTGCTCCAAAATACAGGTGAAATGGGATTAATCCAAAACAAAAATTTCCTTCAGTGTTTTACAGGTAGTAACATGTTAGTCACATATGTGACTACTGAAGCATAAGTTCTTTGGGTTTATCTTTGTTGTTTTGTTCTGCAAATGGAACCCGGACTCTTGCTCTTGTAGGTAAGGACTCTACCACTGATTTTTTTTTCTTTTGGGGAGGGGGTTGGTTTTTTCAAGACAGGGTTTCTCTGTGTTGTTTCGGTGCCTGTCCTGGATCTCGCTCTGTAGACCAGGCTGGCTCTGCCTCCCAGGTGCCCGGATTGCACCACCATCGCCACTGCCGCCACCGCCACCACCGCCGCCACCACTACCACCACCGGCTACTGAATTTCTGAAGCCATCCTTTGTTCCTTTTTCTTTGGCATTGAGAATGGGCCCAGGACCCTACTTTCTTTGTACTTTTTTGGTTTTTAGAGACAGGGTTTCTCTGTGTAGCTTTGCGCCTTTCCTGGAACTCACTCTATAGACCAGGCTGGCCTTGAACTCACAGAGATCCGCCCACCTGCCTCTGCCTCCCAAGTGCTGGGATTAAAGGTGTGTGCCACCACTGCCCGGCTCTTTGTACTTTTTAAGGTGCACTCTCATTAAGTTGCCCAGTCTCTTTTTTTTTTTTTTTTTTTTTTTTTTCATAATGCTTTTGGCCTGTCCATAGCTAACTATGCCTTTAAATGTATTTTATATGGTAATTTGTACCTTTTTATTTTTTTTTTTTTTTTGAGACAAGATCCTACTATGTAACCCTGGCTGGCCTATAATTTTATATGTAGACCAGGCTGACCTTGAACTCAAAAATCTACCTGCCTATGCCTGAGTGCTGGAATTAAGGGTATGCCTGACTGCATCTAGCTTTGTGTACTTCTTAAGCTTTTTTACTAACATTTTTAAAATCGTTTGTTTGTGTGTGTGCTTGTGTGAATTTCAAAGGCTTAAAGATGACATTGAATCCCCTGGAACTACAGCTAAAGGTGGTTCTGAGCTTCCCTCTGAGTGCTGCGACTGAATTCAGGTCCTCTGCAAGAGCAATAAGCACTCTTGAACGCTGAGCCATTCTCCAGCCTCTTTGTGAATGTTTTGTTTTTCACTTTGGTTTTTTAAAGCAGGGCACACTGCTGACTAGGGTAGCCTAAGAGTCATTGCAATCCCCTTGCATTATAGGCAAATTCATTTTTGTTAGTGTTTTCGTTTTTTAGATGCTTGTTTTGTTTTTCAAGACAGCGTTTCTCTGTGAAGCTCTGGCTATCCTAGAACTTGCTCTGTAGACCAGACTGGCCTCAAACTTACAGATAGATACCAGCTTGTTTCTCCCACCTGGGTGTGAGGGTTAAAGGCATGTACCACCACTGCCCTGGCTAATTTGTTTTATTTATTTGGGGGGGGGGTGTTTGGTCCTCCAAATGCAGAGGACCAAAAGAGGGCACCAGGTTCCCTGAAGCTAGACTTACAGGTGGCTGTAAGCTACATGACATGTATTGAGAACTGAACTCTAGTCTTCTAGAACAACAGTGTGTGCTCTTAACTGCTGAACCATCTCTTCAGCTGCTATACACACACGTACTTGTCCTGTATAGCATCAGGGTTTTGATGACCTTGTACTTGTCCTGTGTTACTAGCATCTTAACTCTTTCTAAGTAATTATAGTTAGAAAAAAAAGAAGAAGAGCCGAGTGCTAGATCCTTAGTAAGGGTGCTTTCCAGGCTGCTTATTTAGGCTGCTGATGGACCAGTGAACTCTGTACCTGCATACTAACCTGGTGCATTTCTTGCCTTTCTAGGTGATTGATATCTCCATGATCCTTGCAGAAGCTATCAGGAGAACCCACAATGGAGAGTCTGTCTCCTACCTGTTCAGCCATGTTCCTTTGTAATAGAATAACTTCTGAAGCATTTTGAAAATAAAGCCACCCCCACCCCTCGTTTTTTCTCGGTATTTGGTGAGTTCAGCAGAAGGCCCAGCTTGCTCCAGTGTAGCTTTTACATCCCACATTAGGTACATTAGAATTTAGCCTAAATTGGAAAAAGACAGACTGCAATTAACTGCTAGGATGTCCTATTTGCATTGCTTCATCCTGGCTTTCTTGTTATTTTGTGAGCCTTGCAGCTTTAACTAGAGCTCAGCTGCTGAACGATGTATAGACTGTTGAAAATATTCCACAAGGTCCTTAGGATGTGATTGACAAGTTGATACTCCATTGCATGTGAATGCTTTGGGGGTTTTATTCATTCAGAATAACTAGCAACCAAGTCAGCCCATATGTGATACATTTTCAGAGGTTTGTGCTACACTGCAGCAAGAACCCTGAGCATCCTTAAACATAGTTCCAGTAGTTGAGCACCCTGTTAGGCAGGGGCAGGTAGCTCAATGTAGTAATTAACTTTTTTGGGAGGAAGAAGCCTGATCCATTGCCATCTATTTATAGCTTGAATTCTCTACACCCGTGTTTTCCATTTGGCTTTACTGTCAGCTGTCTTGACCTTTTCCTGGCCAAATATCTTGGACTGAGTGATCATTGTACCATTATCTTCTGTGAGACAGATTTGCTTCTTGCTATGTATGTAAGCACTAACAATCACATTAGATAACCTGCTGTAGCGCAATCTTCCTTAGCCTATTGCCACTGTGGTGGTAGGTTTTAGGTGGTGTCATAGTGCCTTTTGATTAATTTAAGTATTTAATTTTCATCTTCCTTGGATCCATTTGGTCTCTCAGTTGAACAGATTTCTGCTAAGCAATTTGGTGTTATAGTCTCTTGTAGAAAAAACTTAATAAAATGTTAATGTATGCAATTATGGGTCTCTGTCATATCTACTGATTTCTCTGCTGAAAGTTTGTCTTGGGTGTCCCACTGTCCACTGTATCTATTTTTTATCTAAACCATTTAGCCACCTTTTAAAGAAAAAGCAAAGCAGCAATAGAAAGACTTTAAGGTATTTGAAGTTTACTGAGAATTAGAAGCATTATAGGATGTATAATGCTTTCTGGGTTTCTGCCACTTATTCCTGGGAATCCAAATTCCTATTCCTTTTGAATCAATTTTGCCTAATGTGATGATTCTCCTCCCACACCAGTGTTTGGCATTTAATTTCAGCCCTTCTAAGTAAAACTTGGTTGTAAGCACATAGAATTTAAACAAATTCTAATGCATTCCAGGATTTTTAAGGGGGTTTCTTTGTGCATGACTGTATAAGGATGTATGTTTTCTTTGACACTCTTGGTGGTTTTAGAGGTTGGTGAATACTCCTTTGTTCTTTTTTGAGACAGGGCTTCTCTGTGTAGCCCTGGCTGTCCTGGAACTCAGAGATCCACCTGCCTCTGCCTCCCAAGTGCTGGGATTAAAGATGTGTGCCACTGTCGCCCAGCTCCTTTGTTCTTTTAAACCTGGATCTACTTTTTATTTCACTATGCTTTTGTTGAATATGGGGATAGCTGTATTACAGTTGGACTTTTGACAAAAGTGATTCCAGAGGGACAATAGTAAGCTGTGACATCTTTTTTTTTTTTCTGGAAGAGCTGAGGGAGCTAATTATGCTCCTTCCTGAAGTATTGAATCAGTGTGTCCAGGTTCATCATTTCATAATACAGTAGTTACTTTTCTATAGATAATACTATCCAAGACCCATATTGGATACCTGGAACTATAGGTATTATATAACCTTATTATACTAGTTTTCCCCTATACAGACATACCTATGATAGTTTTATTTATAAACTGAGCACTGTAAGAAAACAACAAAATTGAACGATTATAGCTCTACTAATAAAATTTCCGGCATCACTATTGTGCCTTGGGGCCATCAAGTGAGGACAACTGATGTGATAACTAAGACTAATAGGCTATTACATATGTAGTGTGGCATGCAGGACGAGAGAATGGTTATGCCCCAGGCAGGATTGTGCAATAGCATTCTATCTCGTGTGACACAATTTAAGATGCAAGAATTGTTTTATTTATGGTTGTGGTATTGTTATTTGAGACAGGGTTTCTCTGTGTATCTTTGGAGCCTCTCCTGGAACTCACTCTGTAGACCAGGCTGGCCTCGAACTCACAGAGATCCTCCTGCCTCTACCACCCAAGTGCTGGGATTAAGGGTGTGTGCCACCAACACCCAGCTACTTCTGAGTTTTGACAGAAGACCTAGACTGTGGGACTATGTAATCTAATAGCTAGGGTGAGGTTTTGGGGTGATTCAGGAGAAAGCATCACTCTTCAACTTGGAGCTGAAAGCAAGTACCTACAGTGGGAGAACCCCTAATGTCTTGGACATTGGTTTGTTGTGTTTTGTTTTGTTTTTAGATAGGCTCTCACCTAGCTGGCCTCTAATAGAAGTCTTCCTGCCTCTACCTTATGAATGCTGGGATTAAAGGCATGTACCACTCATTTTTAAATTCTATTTATTTAGTCTATGTGCATGTGGGGTTGTGAGACACGCATGTGGAGATCAGAGAACAACTTGGAGGGATTGTGCTTGAACCATGTAGATCTCAGGACTCAAACTCAAGTCAGGCTCTGCAGCAAGTGTCTATACCCAATAAATCACGTCACCAGCCCCAACAACCATTTGATGATGGGAGGAGGGATTGTGTCATGTTTGAGGCAAGGTCTCACTATGTAGCCCTGGCTGGCCTGCAACAGGCTAGTTAAAAACTTAGAGATCTGCCTCTTGAGTGCTGGGATTAAACATGTGTCCCACCATACCCAACTCCCGACAGTGACTATTTTAATGTGGTTTTTTAAAGATTTACTTATTTATTATGTACACAGAAGAGGGCACCAGATCTCATTACAGATGGTTGTGAGCCACCATGTGATGGGAATTGAACTCAGGACCTCTGGAAGAGCAGTCGGTGCTCTTAACCTCTTAGCCATCTCTCCAGCCCATGTGTTTTGTTTTTAATGATGCATTTTGATGAGTGGATTTTTCTGCCCTGTGGGTCCTGGGGATCTAACTATGTCATTAGGCATTAAGGCTGAGCCATCTGGCTGGCCCTGTAAGGTTTTTGACAACTTGCAAAGCCAGTGCTTCCATGAGACTGAGGGCTCCTAGCCCCATTCTTCTCTCCAGATATGGATACTGTTTTCTGCTCTAGACAAGGGTGGGATACATATCTAGTCTTGAGAGGTTGACGGAAGGAGGTTGCCATGAATTTGAGTCCATCTCAGACCACATAGTATCACCATCTTAGAAAAAAAAGTGTTTCCTACTAAAACTGTTAGGGTCTATTAATAGCACATACATAACAAAACTGAAGGTTATTATGAAAAACCTGGAATTGAGTTTTTAAAGCATTACCTCTATTGGCCTGCCTTCCTATCTCTCCCCTCTAAGGAAGTAGCCTGCAGAAGAGAATCTAGTGATAGGTACTTCCCACAAAATAAATAATAAAGAAAGAAATGACACCAGGGCAGTGGTGGCCCACACCTTTAATCCCAGCACTGGGAGGCAGAGCCAGGCGGATCTCTGTGAGTTCGAGGCCAGCCTGGGCTACCAAGTGAGTTCCAGGAAAGGCGCAAAGCTACACAGAAATCATGTCTCGAAAAACCAAAAAAAGAAAGAAATGACAAGGCTGGGGAGGGTGGTTTCATGCTTACCTAGGCTAGAGACCATTGGGAGACAGTACTGTTCTGAAAGACTAATTGTCCCCAGGCTTTTTGCAATCTGTGCATAATAGGACCTAAAGACGTTTGGGTACAAGAGAGTCACGTGTCTTTAGAGTCCTCTTTAGGGCATCCTCTGTGGTAACAAGTCACTTTAGTCATCTCTGCTGACCTCGTGGGAAGTCAGACGGGAGAAGAAGCATGACACAGCTATAAGCAGGCACACACCCAGAAGTTAAGTTCCTGTCCCGTTTACAAGCCAAGGATTGGCCAGTCTTGTACCTATTAGTACTTTGCTGGTGTCTCCCAGGTGCTGGCCCTGCTTCGTGCAACTCAGTACCACTCTGGCTCCTGGACTCGGCTTCATCAAACAAGTGGCTTTTGTTGAGACTGGAGGATTAATGACAAGGACTGCAGCTAAAGATTTCCTCTCTTAAATTTTTTTGAAGATTGCTTTAGACACATTACATAGCCCAAGCTGGCCTCTACATCCTAACTCCCTCCATGTTTCTTAAAGATAATTTTTACCTTTATTTGAGACAAGGTCTCACTGTGTATCCCTGGCTGACCTGGAACTTAAAGATATCTGCCTGCGTCTGCCTCCAGAGTACTGTGATTAAAGATGTGTGCCACCACACCTGACTTAAGATTGTATTTATGCGTATTTGTATGTGAATGTTAAGTTTGCATACTTTTTTAAGATTCTTTTTTATATTTAAATAACTTTTTTTCATTTATTTTACATACTGACCACAGTTTCCCCTCCCTCCTCTCCTCCCAGCCCCACCCTTTCCCATCTACTCCCCTCCCCTTCTTCCTCCTCTGTCTCTATTCAGAAAGAGGCAGGCCTCCCATGAGTTTGGACAAAGCATGGCACACCTTAAATGCAGGTGCCCTTGGAGTCCACCAAAGGACATCAGATCCCCTGGAGTTAGGAGTCACAGGTTGCAAGAGCAGTAAGCATCTTAATGGCCAAGCCATGCCTCCATCCCACCCCCATGTCACGTAAAAGCATGATGCTCAAATGGACTCTTGTTAAGGTATATCTTTTTATAATCTGTTGGGGATACACACACAGACTTCAATAGTTTTCCATTATTATAAAAAATTTTCCCCCTGGGTGGTAGTGGCACACACCTTTAATCCCAGCACTCAGGAGGCAGAGCCAGCCTGGTCTCCAAAGCGAGTTCCAGGACAGGCACAAAGCTACACAGAGAAACCCTGTCTCGAAAAACAAACAAACAAAAAAAAATTCCCTTTGTTTTTGCTTTGACATTTCTGAGGCAGGATCACAATCCTCCCTCTGGCCCCAATAGTCATGCATCACCATGCCTGGTTTAATTTTTTTAAGTTATTTTTAAGCCAGCCATGGTAGCCCATGCCTCTAATCCAAGCACTCAGGAGGCAGATACAGGCAGATCTCTATGAGTTACCCTGATCTACATAGCAAGTTCCAGGACATCAAGTCTATAATAGACCCTATCTCAAAAATAACTAAAAAGTATGTTATTTTTAAAAATGATCTTGTGGGGCTGACAAGATTGCTCACCAGATAAAGGTGCCTGTTCCCAAGCTCTTTTGGGCCCACATATGGGCCATGGCATATGCCCTTCCATACCCAAAATTTAAAAGAAATATAATTTTGTATATATTTGAGTTATGGCATAGTAAGGATACATAGCTATTTTAAATCACTATATTGCAGCAAATTAACATATATTATCTTATATACATTTTCGTGACAAGGTCAACTGTAATTTGCCATGTCCCAGGCTGGGGGCATAGCTCAGCCGGCTAGAGTGCTTTTCTAGCATGCACAAGGTCCTTGGGTTTGATCCCAGCACAAGAAAAAAAAATGCCCCAAACTGAGTGTGGTAGCACAGGCCTGTAATCCTAGCAGTTTGGAGGTAGAGGCAGGAGGAGTTCAAAATCATCCTTGGTTACATAGCAAATTCAAGATCAGTCTTGGCTACATGAGTCCTCAAAAAAGGAAAAAAAAAATCTTTCCACCTGATACCTTCTTCAATTTCTTTCTTCAAAGGCTTGAAGTTTTTGTTATACAGGTCTTCCACTTGCTTGGTTAGAGTTACCCCAAGATATATGCTTTGTGAATATTGTGAGAGGAGTTGTTTCTCTGATTTCTTTCTCAGCCCATTTGTCGTTTGTCATGTATCCAGCCACTTCGCTGAA